TTTTCTACATGTTAACTTACCTCCCTTTAAAGGTACAGTCAATTCAAGTACATCTGAAGGAAGTTCATTAACACAAATTTCATCTGTTAATAAACTCCCATTACAATGAAGATGAAACTCATCTTCAATACCTTGCAGACACACAATCTTTTCCTATAAATAATTATATAGAGTTTAGCACATAAACATTTTCTTTATTTTGATATTATTTTTTTCTCAAAAAATTAATAAAATAACATTGTAGTAAACTTATAAAAAGTGAAAGTAAAAAAACAACTTTCTCCTTGATATAAATTTACATATTATTCTTGCATTAATGCTCGTTCTAGCATTATGATGTGAGCAAATGCTAGATTATCATTTTAATGCTACATCTTTAGATAGTTTTATATAGAAATATTATTTAAAAAGCATTAATACCTTTATATGTTGTACTTTCTCATTGTCTTCACATTCAATGACGGTTGTTTGCTGTCCACGAATTTGCAGCTGCATGTTTGTATATGTGATATCTTCTGTTGTATGGAACCAAAAATCCTGTGATAAACGATCTGTAACGAATAATAATTAAAAATTATGATTTTAATATGCTACGTATATCAAAATGTATATGGTTATAACAATATCTAATTCATAAAAACTAATAATACTCTAAGCTAATTTGTATGCATTTATCGCATTAAGTATTTTGCTGGGAAACATAAAGTATCGCGAGAATGGCGGAACTTCGATATATGGCGAGCGACAACGTGCTTCTAGGTTAAGATTGCACGCGCATACGTTAAAGAACCTTTTTACATCAAAAAAGTCGAGAAGTAAAATATCTACCAACAAATTACTAATATATAAAATGTTAATAAAACGTCGCATAAATTTTAATTATTGCTTTGTATATGTTCGTAGATAAATTAAACAGAAATTTTCCTTACCTCGCTGACACGCACGCAATGGAGCCCAACAGAATCGAAGAAGGGAATAAAGATGATGGCGTGGTTTCATGAACGCAACTAAATATTGGCTTTCGAATAATATAGACACGAAAACCAATCGTCTGCCGTTATATATTTGACTTGTCCAAGAAATAAATATTCATTGGTCATTACGCGATTTTCTGCGCGTTCTGAAAACTCAAACAAATCTGGTAATTCTTTTTCTTTTGTTGGACCATAAATGTCTTCATTTTGTAATGGCGACACTGTCCTTGAGTTTATTCAGTGAGCTCGGATTCGATTGCTGTTTGATTGTTGTTTTCATCATTTGTATTTTGCGGATGAACAGAAACTGATTTTTTTTAAATACGTAATTAAACTAATTAGTATCTTAAATTAAAATGGCAATCAAATTAAGCGCGAATACTTCGCCGTCAGTTGAATTAAGCTCTTACCGTGATCAACATTTTAAGGTTAATTTGAAATTAACCTCAAACTAGATAGCAAATAATTTTGGTTAATTTTTATTATATTCGTGTTACTTCTTTTACGTTTGCATGTACATTTGATACATGCAGTTTTTATCTTTGTAAATATAAATAAATAATGTTTATTTGTTTATTTTTTTTCTCATGCAGGGTACAAGGGCTGAACAAGATAAACTTTTAAGGAATTCTTCTACTTTGTATGTGGGCAATCTATCCTTTTATACTACCGAAGAACAAATATATGAATTATTTTCTAAATGCGGTGACATCAGACGCATTATTATGGGTCTTGATAAATATAAAAAGACACCATGTGGTTTTTGTTTTGTCGAGTATTATCAAAGAGTCGATGCTGAGAATTGTATGAGATATATTAATGGTACTCGTTTAGACGACAGAATTATTAGAACTGACTGGGACGCTGGCTTTATCGAAGGTAGACAGTATGGTCGTGGCAAAACTGGAGGACAAGTAATTATTTTTGAATTAATATTTTATAGACAATATAAATTTAGATACGATATAACATTCCATTTTATATTTCAGGTGAGGGATGAATATCGATCAGACTTTGATAGTGGACGGGGTGGTTATGGTAAAATAATACAACAGAAAGTAACATCTCTCTCGGATGGTGGATTTGGACGATAAAACTTTTAAATGTATGAATGGCCGTATATATGCGAGTGTCTGACTCATTCTTCATGAATTATTTATATATGATTAAAATAATTAATTCTAAGTGTAAATACAAAGTTTAAGATAGTATACTAAGTAGCGTTAAAGATAGAGGTGATGATTTGTACATGTATTCAAAAACTTCAACAAACATTTTGTGTCATAATATTTAAATCAAGAAAAAATTACAGAAAGATATATGTTTTGATTCATTAAAAATATATATTCATATATCTGTTAATTTGTTAAATAGATATGAAAAATTTTGAAAGAAATAAAATGAAACTCTGTAAACTATATGGATTATCACTTGGTTCTCAATTGAATATCTCTTTTACACGTGTATATAAACAATAATAATAAAAAAGGAGGAATAGCTTTTATTATAGGATTTATAAATTTAATTACATCTTTTATATTTCTATATATAATAAATATCTTGGTAACAAAACTTCAAATTATAAAAAAGATATTATGCCTGCACATGCTATTGAATTTTTGAAATTTGAAATCACATGCTACTACTTATTGTTATCAATAATATTTGTTTCATATTCATTTTTTATTTTCTTTTATTTTTTAGATTTTGATTTTGAAGTAGTAGAGACAGAATCGTCATTGCTATTTTTTTGAGATAATCTTTGTTTGATTAAATTCATAAAATCTACATCACTTTTATCATTTTTCCAATTATTTTTGGGTTCTAAAGTCCTACGAGTAATTCTTAAAGATGTATATTTCCTGCCGTCTTTTAAATTTACCACATTATTTTCACGATTTATGATATTGTTAATTACAATATTAGGATTTTTTATTTCTTTATTATCAGTATTAGAAATTTCCTCAGTCTCTGATCTGTTGACAATTATTTCATCGTTGATATTTCCAAAAACTACAAGTTTTTCCGTTTCTTTCGTATTTCTTTCACTTTCTCTTTCAGTTTCATTAAATAATATTTGGTTTTCAATATTTTGACTAAACATTTCCTCATTGAAAGATATATCTTTATCTTTATTATATCTTTGATGATTAGATTTTTTTATTACAAATTCAGCTGTAAAAATTGGAGGAATATCTTCCTCCGATGTATCCAGACAAAGCGTATTTTTGTTAACAACTCTACCTCCATGCAAAAAAGTAGAAATGTTTTTTCGTCGCCACATTTTGGAAGTGCTGGGTATAAACTGTTTACATCCCTCAAAACATAATTCTTTCACATCAATATTTGAAAGCTCTCCTTTTAAAAAATGTAAATATTTTTTCAATGCTGTATAAAAATGTAATTTGTCCACCATTCTTGGAAAATTAGCACATCGTGCGCTGCTTGATGGTGTCACCCAAATTGCAGTATCACCAATGCATTCAGGTTGTAATCCAAAATGAAATTTGGATTTAGTGGTAATATGAGCAAATACTTCATAAATACATTTACCATTAAATACTGCAATTTTAGGCTTGTATAATTTTAATTTCTCTTCCACTATCTTTGCTCCTTCTTTCAGTTCCGTTCGTTTGAGGTCTGCAGCAGATCTAGTAGGACGTGCTACAATATTTGTCAAGCCAATACTGTATTGCAAAAGCTTATAGTCTTCTTCAAAGCTGACAAATCTTGGTGTTAGGCCAGATTCGTGCAAAAGCTTGTAAAAGTGATTGCCAGGACCTGCATAATATCTACCCCGATGCGCTGCCGTTAGACTTGGATTAATTCCAACAAATACTATATCCAAATTCATCTCCAGATAATCTTCCAATGTATACTTTTGTACTTCTTCTTCGGATAGTCCATCAAACCTATCTACTTTTTTCTTGGGTCGTTCTGAAACTTGCGATGGTCTTTTCTTGAGTTTATTTAAATCGAGCGGTGA